TTAAAACAGAATCATATAAGAAGAACACACAAGTAATGAAGCATACGGGAAAGCGCATTTAATGCATGGAAATATCGAATGTAACATTTTTGCAATTCCTATAAGATCAGAAATTGCGCATTCAACGGCATAGATAATGCGTTTTAATTAAAAACTCTCGAGTATTTAGGTTCGAAAATTTTTCAGTTAAGACTTCATCGAATCCCAACTCTTTTCTTGCGGAGCAATCTTTCTGACAATGATGAACTATTCTCCTAATCGCTGTCGAATTTAACCAAAAGTTTAGAAAAACTAAGTCTAACGATGAATTTGCTCTGCTTCGACCGCTTGAATGAGATAACAAGGTATGCGTCCTCATTGCGCTGGCTCCAGCTGGGAATTGATGGGCATCGCCAAAGTTTGACTGCACCGGATAAGTTTTTTTTCAGCAAACCGTGGGTAAACTTACTCAACTGAAAGTACCGCATTTAACTCGTGCTATTGATAAGCTTATCATAAAAATTATGTTGGGTAATTTGCCAAAGCAAAGTCGCCTTAAAACAATAATTTTAGGCCGCTTGATTGGTGATAAGGATTTTCAGAAATTAGTGATACAAAAATATATCCTACAAAGCTAGATCCTTATCTTAAAACCGTTGAAAAGATAAGTAGATGTAACATAATGACATAACTACATGATCTCGGATTTGGTTTAGAGAACTACAAATATATTTTTGAATACTATAATCCTCTTTTTCTTTCGCATCGAATATCCTTAATATAAATTTGTCATGGAGATCATAAAAGCCATGTAAGTACGTAGCCTTTGATTTTTTTTTTTTTTTTTTTGATTTCGATAGTTAATGGTCTTCGAATCTTTGCAATATGTAGATATAGGTTTTAATACATGTATGCGGCGGTTCACTTTGAAATATCGGTTTATGATTTTCATCAACATATTCGTTGTAGTAGAGGGCGTTAATGCATTCAAAATTTAAACGTTCCATTAATTTGATAGCATAAAAACTCGAACAATCACTAGTTATTGCCTCGTATTTTACATGCTTAGCCAATCCTATCAACTCTTTAATCATACGAGCTCCTATGTTTCTACCACGCATGTTAACGTTAACACTTAAAGCGTGTATGTGTAGAACTTTTTGAATTTTGTAACGCTCACATACATTGGCATCACGTTCGATGCGCTCTAGTAGCTGTAAAATACGGCCCCACTTCGTATATCCTTCTTTGCGAGCAGCATCGTACAAGTGATCAGCTTCTGTGGCATCCTTTGGGCCGACTATTATAACACCCACAATGCGATCCTCGCCGCTTGATTCTTTTGAATTTTGTGAGGCAGACCGAACAGCCATTAGAGAGATGCCGTGTTCAATCATGCCTATGTTGTACTCCTCATCGGCGGCATCTTGCCTTTTGGGCTCAATACCCAAAGTTACTGGATCTTCAGGATAAAAGTATGCTCGTAAAAAGTTTAAAACTCGTTGACCATCTTCTGATTTTATCAAACGTATCTGTATATCGTCTGGCTGTGCCGTTGCACTGAGCATATCGATAAGAACTGATTGAACAATTGAAAAAATGATTCCGTTTCAATAGATTATAACGGTTAAGATAATTTAACACAACTGTCAAGATTATTGATGTTAACTTTGCTTTTATTCATATAACAGAGTGCAATGTTTTTGCAAATTATTAACTAATAAACTTTTTTATTTTGAAAATTTACATAAAATGAATGTATTTCTGTATTTTTGCTTATTGTTTGCATTTCCATGGGATATAAAAGTGAAAAAATTTGCTTATTTTTTTTTTTTTTTTAAACTTACCACAGAGATGTGGTACACTAACAATGTTACTTCTATTTCAATACACAGCAATATAAATGCATGCAAAGTTACTATAATTGATTAATGGCGTGAAGGATCCAATTCGGCTTAAACAAGTCGCTCAATTATTCACTGTATCATCCTTTTTGAAGCTAACAAATTGAATTAGAAAAAGATGTAGGGAAAATTGACACCCATTGACTATAACTTAACAAACAGCCGAACTTCGCCCAAAAGCTAAGTAACAACAATAAAAAATGACAACCAACCAATGAAAAACAAACTTGACGAACATTAATAAGATGAGTATCCGAAATTCGTTCAAAGTTTAACTTAACAGTACTCATTATTGTAGCAAAGGGGTGCAATAACATGCTTAACTATGCGTATCAGATTAGCATAAGAAAGTAAATCAGCTTAGATACGCCTCGTTTCGTGGCCATTAATCCGCCTTAATCGAGTTATTCGAATTTTCGCAGTTGCATTCATAGTTCATGCATAGTTCAAGTTTTGACAATTTGTCCTATCACATAAGATACAAACAAAGCACAATTTTTAGTGTTGCATTGGGGAAATAAAGGAAGAGGTGTGTTAAGAAAAGATATGCAGCGTATTTAGTGGTCGGCCTGGACCGATCGTAATGTTTATGTTTGCTATAAATGTAAAAGTATTGACGCTTACGTGTTTTGACTTAAGAGTTCTAAAATTAAAATTGACATAAAAAAAGCGGAAATAATTAAGAAAAGGGATATATATATATACAATTGTCTAATAAGTTGAAGTAAATGTCTGACTAATGATTGCAAACAAGTACTTTTTGATCGCATTAAACAAATTTATTAATTAATTTACTGTTTCCTTTGCGAGCTAATCAACACCATTGCTTTTTCTATCCCATACAGTCTGTGGTGCAGACAGAAATATGAAGTTTTTGTGGATGAAAGTAACGTCCAAGGAAAGACGAAAGACAGACTCACATTTAATTATACCGATTGATCCGAATTAATTTATTTAAGTTTGTCGGTTCCTTTGTTTGCCAAATTTTTGTCGCAACATTTTTGTGCTCAACTTACAGGAGATCTTTTGAAGACATTAAATGAGCTATCTTTGTGATTTGTTTTATTTATCAGCGATCTGTTCACTTTCATCGAAACTATTTCACTTTATTCGAAGTGTAGTGAATTTAGAATTCCTTACGAGTGGCTTACAATCTTGGTATACCGATGTATAATTAAACTAATACCAATGAATCTGTTCAAGTACAAAAAAGATATCATTGTCTAGTTCATCTCCCGTTAACCCCGGGCTATGGTATCATTTCACTCGATCAAAAAATGAACTTTAATCTCCATATCCAGTCAATTGTAAATAAAGCAAAATCCTCGTTGGACTTCATAAGATGATGATCGAAGGACTTTTGTAATCCCTACATAACAATGACGCTTGTAGGACCTATTCTAGCGTATGCGTCAGTTGTCAGTTGTCCAAGCTATTCTTGGTACAGATAGATACTATAGAATTAATTCAAAATCATTTTCCCGTATTTGTCTTGCGTGGACTACGGTGCGGTATACTTACTGCTTACTGCTTACTGCTTTCTCCCAATGAAAATCATTTAAACTGAATTGATTTACTAGCGCTTGAGAAAAGAAGCCACATGTTAGGCATGTACTTTGTGTTTAGCTTTCCCCCGTTTTTCTAGGCATTAAGTGCCAACTAGGCTCTCTCAATGCCGGACAAATTGCGAGCCTTTTTCACCGTTTCACGAGCATTGTACGATAAGCTCTTTAAAAAGAAAAATTCTAAGCATGGACTGAGTTCTTAGTTGTCAGTTGTGTACCTGAATAGGTACTTATGTATCATTATTATTTTTTTATATTCGCTTTATCTTTTCAATTTACATGCATTGAATTATATTTTCAATTATTAGAGGCTGTAGAGATAAGATAATGTTAGGTAGGTAGATAAATAAATATATAGATTTACTCGTTACACACCACTACATACATACAGCAAAGCTATTGAATAGATTAAATTACAACATTATAGAGAAAGTCAGCGATCAAAAGCACAGCAAAGTTTGAAGTGAACATTTTCAATTCGAAGTAAACTGCTTTTATACCCATCACCGACAGATAAGAGAAACGTCGAAACGTTTGCAACACACAGAAGGAAGCCGCAGAGACCCCACAAAGAGTACATATCCTTGATCAGCATCCAATTATGAATCGACTTAAGCATGTCTGTCTGTCCATCTACTATCGACTTCAAATTTAGTAGAAACATTGAAAATAAACTGCGACGCGTAAACCGAGAAACCTCCTGTTTTTCAAAAGGAATAAAAAACAGTTTTTTTGCACACTACTCAAAAACTATTGCAGATAAATGTACAATAACTTGGCCGCTTATTCTATGGGCCATGCTGTAGTAGCCGTACAAAAATGGGAAAGAATTGACCACGCCTTCTATCGCTTTGACAGTCGAATCCCCTGCCAACGAGTTGGCAATCGTGTATCTCATCCCCTCGCCCATGAGGTTGTATGCAAACTGGTTTAATCTTTAATTTTGTCATTAAAATTAAGTGCACCTAATTAGGACAATTTTGCAAAATGCCCTACGTCAGTTCAGGTCATTCGCTTGCTCTTATATAAGGGCTGTCGCAAAAAATATGTACTCGCATGCAAAGGAAGGCATAATTTTTGGTATTTTGTCAAGAAAATACATGGATAATTATATTAGACGAAGTGGCTTAGGGCGTTCGATGCTCGGCATTGTCCGATATTATAATATTTTCACTTGCTTTTGTTAATTGTTGTAATCATACTTTAATTGTAAAAATTTGACTTGATTAAAATTTGAAAACAACCACAACTCATAATGAGTCATCATAATTCGAGAAAGTCAACAAACTAACGAAGAAAACATTTGACTTACATTAAGCCACATTTTCATATCCTACACCAAGTGCAATATAGATTATATTGTTATAAATATGAACATTGGACGTTTTAGATGTGATGGCATGATACGAACGCTTTGTAATAATTATGATGTGGTATTTATTTATTTATTTAATCCACATTACTTACAAAAACAAATTCCAACCAATAACTAGACGAATTAAAACAAACCAAAATTTAAACTTTAAGCTAAAATACCAATGTAAGGAACTTACCTAAATCTAAGCTTCTAGTGGGCATTTAATTATTTAAGTAGTTGCATGACCCAGCACGACATTTCATTATATATTAATTGTAATAATAAAATCACTAAACTGATCAAAACGGTAATAATTTCTGTTATAAAGCCTACATAGCAAACGAAACGGACTAAACAGTAGATAATTTGTGCGCTAATGATGGAGCTTCAAACGAATACAGTGTCGTAAAGACCGTAATAAAGTGCCTAAACAACAACAAAATGGAACGAACTAGCACAGTGTATAGACGTTTGCAAATGTACTAAATCACTAAATCATTTAGTCCATCTCTTAATAAAGTCACAGGGAAGCGCAGTCGACCAAAGTTGAAAATCGAAAGTTCATGATTCGCTCTAAGAAATGCATTTAGGAAATCTGCATCTATTACATCCATCTGCTTGCCCAAGGCAAAGGCCTGAGAAATGTCACACATAAGCTCCAACAAGTTAGTAGATGTTGATCCGAATCTCGCAGACAGTAAAGCTTCCAATGACTTAGGTAGGACACTAAATTTTTCATTGCCCCTGTAATTGTTCTTGTCTTCTCTAGAACCACTTTTATACAATGGAATAATAGAACCGGGTTTTCATGCTAAAGAGCAATAATAAGCAAAAATTTTAAAATAAACAAAAGTGATAAGGGCGCTTGTATTCTCTACTCATGTCCTTTAATTAGATTGCAATTTGATGCTTTTGAAGGATGTCTGTCATTTGTTCTCGTTTTTTTTTTTTGTTTTATAATTTTTGTTTATATCAACTCTTTTTTTTTTTTTTTTGGTTTGTTACAATTCAAGGGAAATACGATAAGTGGTCACTCTACGAGATTGTGAGTGGTCACTCTACGAGTCCGTGAGACTTGATAGAACAATTAGAAGGATTTAGCTTAGGTCCACCTTTCGTTACACCGATCGATTCTGTCTACCCCTGGATTTTTGGGTTTCAGCGCAGAGGTCGCAATTTTTATGATCTTTTTAGGAAATACAATGCATTAGTGTTTTTTTGGACCATTTTCAATAGCGCTCGTCCTTGGGCCAAAATACGTCAGTGCACCTTTTTAAAAATATTTCGAAAGCTCCGAGACGAAGATTTAACAAAAGGCGGGGGGAGGGACAAGCACGCTTTAGCAAAATATGGGTCTACCTTAAGTCTTTCTGAGTGTTGCAGGCTTGGCGCAAACTTACTACGCGCTAGTACCACAAGTGGTGTAGGGTGTAAAAATTAACCTTCACTTGGGAAAACGATCTAATTCTAAACATTTTATGATTAACATTGCACATTACACAAAAATAAAAAAATCAATTGCAACAGATTCAGAACCATAGCCCAAGGTAGCCATATCTTTCGGACATCAGCCCTCATTCTTCTGAATTTTGCTCATTATTGTACAAAAATTGCCACCCAAATTATTCGATCTATGTGAGAGACGAAAGAGTGTATTTTCTTAAGGTTCTTACTCTCTTCTTCTATGAGAGGCTATTATTCGAATTAATTGATAGCATAACAAATTCTATTGTAGAACTGAAGACCGTATGTCAGGAATCTAAGACTACGTGGCAGCGCGGGTCAAGCATGTGGTGATTGAAGTCAGGTGATGAAATCATGCACATTTGTGTACATTTTTTGTTCCCTCTAAGTTTTTTTCTTTGGTTAAATTCTGTTTAAAAATCATTTGTCGGTTTCTTGTTTATACAAATTGCAAAACAGTTTCGAACCATTACAAAAACAGGGACACACTGCATGACATATTGAGAAACCCATAAAACATATTATGTTATTGTTATAAAAAAGAAGAAGGAAAAGAATGCCTCCTTGCATGTTGCAGAAATTTATTATTTCTGACACGTGTTGGAAGATGATGCATAAGAGACAAGTGTACTTCACAAAGCAATCTTCATTTGTTTGCAAATATACGGTACGTGAGTAAGAAACTAGGAGTAACGCACGGCAAATGACATCAAACATAACGATGAATATAAAATGATAACACAAGAAGCATGACTGTGAATCATGGGAATTTTAAGAATTTTAAAGCAAACAAAAATAAATGCGTAATAAATGAACAAAAGAAATGAAAAAAACGAAGAAAATGTAAAGGCGTAGCAAACCTAGGTAATTATTTTCTTTCCATTACTTCAAACAAATAAAACATTTTTCTAAAAAATAGGTAACAACATTATAGTCGGTCAAATCCGATCGCCAGATGCCCTACACATCAGAAAAGTAGTCAGAACAATACAATCGGGTAAGGCCGACCGTTAAATACCCCACATCACTGAAAGCCCTCTTATTGAAGAATGCTGAAAATATAAGTGACCTTAGTTATCATTATTATTTTTCATTTTTTCATCATAAGAAGCTGTTCATTCGGTTTTGTGACCCCGGAAAGAGCTACTTTTTATAAATGGTAGAATGGAAAAAATAGACCTATGTAATCTGCTTTCCTTGCGACTACTTTTTATACCAAATCGCTACTATGGATCAATTCCCATGACGAAATATTACAAATTACAACATTTCTATCGCATAAAGTCCAATTTTTGATGATAACACTTGAACGGGATGGGATCCAAACAATAGACGTACATGATCCAAATTCAGTAAGGTTCATTTCTATGAAATACCATGTAATAGTTCGGTTCTCAAGGGCACGATTATATAAGAGGTATCCAAAATATTACTTCCGCTTCAAATAGTTCCCATTAGTTTAGAATGCCGATATTATTGTTTATTACCTAGGCGTTATCGTCGAGAAATTTCAAAATTTGCAATTTTTTTCACACAAAGAATTTTCAAAATAAGACGACCGAAGGACTAACCCGATCTAATACATTTTCAGGAGGGTCCATCCTCGATCCAAAACACATCGTTCATCAAAAAATTTTCAAAAATTACCGGTAGATTGAACACAAGAGTACATGGATAGACGGACAGGCGTACTTAAATCAGTTCAGAAAATAATTCTCAATCGATCGTTTCGGTTTAATACACAATGAACGCATCTTAAACTCCGTGCATCCGCACAGACATAATATATAGAGGAAAAATTAACGATTTTGTACTAATTGACAGTGAGTGCCTTGCGATTAAATTTCAGATTTAAATTGACGAGAAAGTTGAGGACAAATTCGCTCCTCTAGATAAAGTTTTGCATTCATTATTAGAATAATTCTAATTGATTGACAAATAGACAAACTTGGCTTCACTGATAAATATTTCTCCACTTTATGTGATCTTATATGTAGAGAGCACAGTACGTTAATCTTTCGAAGACCTTGTCCACATATGCGTATGTTGCGGTTTCGTTAAATTATAGAGATACTATCAAGTAAATTATGCCTTCAGGAAGAGAAGTAACCCAGTACTTGATGCACAAGCATTTTTAATTACAATGTACATTTGGTTGGTGCAGTGGGAATTAAAAAGAAAATAGAGTAAAAAACTAAATCGTCCCTGATTAAGAGATTAAAACCTTTGGACTAATCTATTTCCTGTAGATGAATAGTTCGAATATCAAAAGGATGTATCTTTCAATCCCCAAAAATTCGGAATGAAGCTTTCATTAATATAATCCGTTTCGCGTAAGCCAATCGTGATTTAAAAAGACGACAACTTCGAGGTATATGCATGGATTTCAATAAAACTATTTATTATCGTCAAATGAAGTTTCTTATATGTATTTCGTTTTTTTGATGTATATTTATAACACATATATATGTAAAATAAAGTGAATATACATATGCTTGTAGCTGTTGTCACAAAAGTTTATCGTATAAAGATCGGTTAATAGAATGATTTTAAAATTAAATTTAGTTAAGTTTTAAAATTAGTAGAAATTTTATAATTCAATTCAATTCAATTTAAAATTCTTTCTTTTTGTTTTTTATTTAATAATTAAAAATTCCAGTTTCCTTTCTATATTTATACCGAAACTTTCCAAATGCGATATCAATTATAAAGAATTAGTAAGAATTAATTTACCGCAAACAATAAATGGTTTACGTTCCGAATCGTTCAACACGTAGACGTATTAGACGTACTTGTTTAGTAAATATGTTTAAGTATAATAAACTTATTAAAAACAAAAAGAAATAGATATTCGCCTTATGGCAGGGGTTGCGAATCCAGAAGGAGCGTCTCTTAGGGAAAAGCGAAATTGTTTACTTTTCTTTATTAAAAACGTGAACCCATATATTTTGAAAACGACTTGACTGTTGACTACAATTACGTGCATTTTTATTTGAAAAATTATAATTTTCGAGAGAAAAGAACTATCAAGGGAAATGTCGCAAACAGCGAATGAATTAAACAGTCCCAGACTTTTTTCCAATTTATTCAATTCATTGTCAGAGAGTGAATCCACGGCAATGTATTTATTTTTCAGTTTTGAGGTTATGCGTAGATATGATTATTATAAGTTGAACTTTGATTTTCGTCTTTTATATGCACACAAACAACAATAGGTCATGAAAAGTTTGTTTTGTTAAAATGTCGTTAATTTAAAGGCACCATAACCTTTAAACAAACGCGAAGAGTTGCATTTTTTTTTTTTAAGTGCTGTGCAGAAATAACGAGCTATTTATGGAATACATTCTCGGAATTATATAGAAGAAGACTATTATTGCGTTATTTAAATTTGTTATTCTTTCCTTTTCACTTTCTTTTCCTAACAAAATATATAAAGAATATTTAGAATGCCGATAAATATGTATTGGAGGACCAATCGAATTTTCCAGGTGTGTGAACAAGCGCAATGGAACAATTTGTGTAAATTGTCCATTAACCTATATGACGAAATTTGGACTACGCTCTAGAGGGCTCTAGAGACGAGTCTTTGTCATAGGACAGGTACGTAATAGGCAGGTAGTAGGAAACAAAAATATATAGAAAGAATATTAAGATTAAATTTAAATTTAATAAATACAACGGTGGAAAAAACAGATTTCTTTCCTAAAATCATTTTAGTATGACTTGTGAATGAATTTCACTGTATGAATTTCAGTTAGGTGACAATCATGAGGTGAAAGTTTCATTATCGATCGCTTAGTGGTTTTAAAATTTGCTTTTGATTCACTTTTTTGATATTTAAATTTGATATTAAAGTAAAGTATTATATATTGGATTAAAGATTTTTTGGAGATTTTTTTCATGCCGATAACATATATGCTATCGTTTGTTAGTTTTATATTGTCGTATTTTTTTGCAACTATAGTGGCGTAGTTGTTTCAATTTTTATTGCCGCGGAATTACCCACTTCTAACTCAAATGGCTTTACTGACTTTACGGTCACATTGCCTTTAAATGCTAATTTGCAATAAATTTTTGGTTTGTCTGAAGTGTGTTTTACTTTTAAGTGATCATCGCAACTATGAGGATTATCTAAATACTTGTAACATAACTGACAGTAATAACTTAATGTTAATTTATGATAATTCTTGAGGTGTAAACCGAACTCGTCTCGCCCCAACATATCATGCTTTTCACAGCAAATGCAATCGTGTATGGTGGAAAAACAACGGGCTCCTCTTGCAAAACTGAAGCCTACTTCAACAAAAACGGTTTTGTATTTTTTGATAAGCTGAACAAATGGCACGTCCTGTGCGTCATGTTCCTGTATTATATGCGCCGTTAGATTTGATCGATAGCAGTGATAAGACAAGCACACGCAGCATATGTAAAGATAGCAATTTGAGTGGATTTTTAAATGTTCAATTATAGGTTCCCACGATTCGCAACGTGGGATTTCGAATGCACATTGAGAACACGAGAAACCACGTCCAGAAATATCGTGTTCATTACATACGTGCTCGAACCACGCGTCATCTTCTGCTGCGCGAAAATCACACGCGCTATATAAACATTTCTTTGAGATTTTCCAATCGCTAATGCTTACGGGAAAATTCTCTAACCAGGGCGTGGCTTTTGGTATTAGCCATTCATTTTGCAATTCGTTCTTGTCTCCTAATTTCCGTAATTGATTATCAAGCATCTCCACAAATTTTGTCAAAAATGCTAAACGATCTTTGTAGAGATTTTTCCGGATTAAAACATAATAACAATCAAAGCTGTTGTCATGTATTTCTTCGACACTCCATTCATTAAAATTATGAGCTGTTAGGGCGTGTATTCTCAGTACCTTCCCGCAGTTGAAAGTATTCAAACAGTCAAAGCAAATATAATTACGACGGGAATGTTCCTCGAAGTGTATTTTGAAATTTTCAAGACTGAGCAGCTCTCGATCCGTATTGATAGATGGACAATGGGGGCAATAATAAAATAAACTCTGATGGCAGGCTTTCATATGTTGAAACCAGGCTTCATATGACGGAAAACAGCTTCCGCATATAGATTCTGGGCAACGAAATAAACTAACTAATGGCACCTCTGTAGATTTTGTCAATTTAAGTAAATGAACTTTGACCGTATCATTTAGTGCCTCTAAATCCCGTCTGACATCCAACTGTAGTAGTTTCTTTTCATTAAAATCTTTAGCACCGAATCTTTGATTACTAATATCTTCTATGAAATTTGAAGATATTGTCTCGCCTACATTGATCAGTTTCAAAGACTCAACACAATCAACCTAAAAGGTATAGAACTATAGTTTTAAAATTTAAGGTTGACTTCGACTACCTCAACTACCTTTGCAGCTTCAGTTGCATTATGATTACACATGAAAGGGAGCTCATCAGGATGATTGACGGCTAGATGCATGTGAATATTCTTTTGATCCGTGTCACTCGTCTCGCAATAAATGCAGGAATAAATCTTCAAGTCGTCTGAATTGAAACTGTATACTTGATGGGCATCATTCACGTGCCTCTTTAGATGAATGGATCCGTAGAAACTTGCTGCACAATCTTTTTAACAAACGAAAATAAAAATTTATAATTACTGAAAATTAAGAAATAGTTGGATTCTTGTATGCAAAATACTTACATGGACATGCGATTTTTTGTACATATTGAGCCTTTTTCGTCATTAAATATTGCTTCTCTTGGTGGTAAGTACTTTCTTGATTACCGCACTTGTATATTATACAGTTCTGTCGTACGGTTGAATGCTTCAACTGCTGATGAATGGTGACATTCGATGAGGTAGAGCTGCGATAAGAACACAAGGAACATTGATATATGCTATGTTGATGCTTTAGTTGAATATGTTCGACCAATTCTTGCGCTGTGTTACACTTGTTTAAAGGAGTGCAATAAGCACATTGGAGATATTTCTTCGGAGGGCATCCACTATCATCATGACATTTCAGATGAGATAAAAACTCATTTTTTTCATCAGTTGAAAAATAACAATTGTTATAGATGCATTTGTACAACCCCCAATATCTTTCATTTGCAGGTATAGAACGGTATTTAAACACAGCTTCGGCTACTATTTGCTTAGGCCATAGCTCAAATTGCGCACCAATTGCTGGAGGGGGAAATGATGGTGCTATGGGAGAATGGTTGTCACTAATCTCAATTGCTTCACATTTTATCGAAGTTATTTCAATTTCTTTTATCGAACGGTGAACTTGGGCAGTTTTAAGTTCCATTAGTTTATTACCCACATCAATGTCGTTTGTGCATGGTTCATTGGAACATGACATGTCTTCAACCGCCCTGTCTCTTATTTCAGCTAAGTTAAATTCAACCTTTTCAAGCCCTTCATATTGCGATTCGTTAGTTATCTGGTTGAATAAAGATTTAGGCGGTGAATGTCTCAACGAAGTCGAAGAAAGTGTTTGGGCTTGAAAACTCGTTTCACTAATGTCAATCTCTTCACATTTTATAGGAATCATTCTATTCCCAGCAACAGACCAGGGAATTTCAGATGTAGGAAACTCATCCATTTCGCGTATCTCAACACACGGTTCATTACGCACGGCAAGTTTTTCTTTTTCATTTAAATAATTCAACTTTTCTGACAACGTCTCGTTTTTACCTTCAATTAAATCAGATTCAATTGTTTTTGATTTCGGAATAATTTCTTCGAGTTGCGTCCGTGGTTCTTCTCTTATTGCTGCGAGAATACAATTTTTGATATTAGCTTGGACTGCATCGTGTGGGTTATGTTGTTCACGCAAATGTTTCGCAATGTTGGCTTCGTTCAGTTGCACATAATTACATAAAGAACAGTAATATAAATAAATTACTGTTGCGTTCCGCGGATAACGATATAATATCGATATGTTTGCGTTCCGACAATTCTTCGCATGCCGCTGATGGGATTCAATGTCAGCGCGAAACGGTTTGGACAATAAACACCAGCTGCAGATGAAAGCGTATTCTCCCGTATGTTTGGAAAAGTGATTATATAGCCTCATAAACGATTCAGTTACATCATATTGACAGAAAGGGCAAATAACTGTGTAGCATTCGATAGATTGGTTGCTGGATTTTTGTGGATCTGCATAATTTGTATTTTTAATCAACCCACGTAATTCAGCGTTTGTCAGACGAGATATATACGATTCGGTGCGATGCTTTCGTATGTAATGATTAACCAAATCATTGGGTCGGGATTTACAAAGAACACAGAAAGTAGTGCTCTTTTCAGTCATTTTGCAATTGTTGTTACGCTTCTTATGTTGGGTAATTTTTGAGGTATATGTTTCACACTCTTCAACAATTTCAGAGCGCTCTTCAGCTAGGTATGCATAAAATGTTTGCCCCGCTGCGGATAGAGTTTCTACTTGATTTAGCTTATCTCGCGAAGGAAGTAAACTCGATTGATTGTTAATAACGTCATTACAATTTCGTTTCATTTTTTTTAAAACCGAAAAACTAGTTGCTTGTGAATCAAAGGAGTCATCTTCTGTGAGACATTTGCGATTTTTCGTCCCCTTTTTACCTTTGCCACTGTCATTTGACGAACCGCTTTTATTCAATTGAAGCGGGCTAATAGTGAAAGCTTGTCCATTTGAACTAGACTCTAGGTTTGTAAATCCTTTATCGACATTTTTCCTACCAGAAAGTCCCGGATGTTGTGTTTGCATAAACATTCCTTTATTTTTTTCGCGATGAATCGCGCTATTTTTATTTCCATCCTCAGAGATTTGCTTTTGAGTTATTTTAGGTATTTTCGATAATTTTTCATGTTTGTTTTGCAAAAAGGAAGCTTGGAATACACGCTGCTTTTCGATTTCTTTCTTCTCTTTTTTCTTTGAATCAATTTTTTGCCTTTGCTTTAGATTCCTTGCCTCTCGAATCGTTTTTGGGACTTCAATTTTCCAACTGCTTGCTATTCCTTCGGTTTGTTTTATTGCTTTTAGGCGTAGACGCATATTATATTTTTGGCTCTGTTTCTTCTCTAATTCCAGTGTTTCCCTATCCTTGGCATCCGATGCTGCTTTGCTTTTTTTCTTTTTTTTCTTCACTTCGATGCATTGTTGTGCCTTATTCTCTTCGCTCCGTTTCTTCTTTGATTCCAATTCTCCGCTTTCCTTGCCATATGCTGGTTCTTTATTTCGTTTTGTTGCTTCCATTTGTAGCCTTGCCGTTTCTTTCTTTTCGAATTCCAGTTTTTCCCTTTCCTCATCAGCCGTTACTTCTTTGGCTTGTCTTGGCGGTTCCATTTGCTGCTGCCCTTCATGCTTTCTGTTCTTATTCTTCTTTGATTCTAATTTGCCCGTTACTTTGGCAATTACTGAATCTTTCAATTGTGTTTGTATATTCATTTGCTGTTGCGCATTATTTTTTTCGTTTTCTGTCGTCTTTAATTCCCCTCTTTCGCTTTCGATGGCTTCCACTGACTCTTTAATCGGTTTTTCTGTTTCCGTCTGCTGCTGCGTTTCATTCATTTTTTTCTCCATCCTTTCTAATTTTTGGTCTTTCTTTTGACTAGTAAGCCCCTCTTCTTGTACCTTTTTCTCTATCTGGTGCCGTTTTTCATGCATTTGATGTTTCCGCTGCCATTCTTCTCCAGATTTTTCACTTTTCTTATATTCTTCATAAATTGTAGGCTTGTTTGATTCCACAGATCTGAGTGTGAAGTTTTTTGCCGACCTCTGTTGTTGAGTCACATTAAGAGGAACTGATCGTTGAGTGGGATGGGCACAATTTGTAGTACAATTATATCTATGCATCGGCGTTTGAGCATATGGCATGCGAAACTGCGAATCTGCAATATGACGCGGAAATAAAGGTGGCACACTTTGTAACGGAGCACACCAGCCTAAGCCTGGACTGTTGGTGTAAATGTTGGGCCGCTGATAATGATTAGAAATGTAAATAGGACAATCAGGTGCAACGCCAATGGAATTTCTAATAAGATGATTGGGAAAAGCAAGAGGAGTGCCAAAAAATCGACCATCATTTAGGCAGGAGGTCCTATTAGCTAGCGCGTACGGATCAAAAGCATAGACAGGTTGATACGGATTAGAAACATTAACAGGATAAGCTGCGAGCTGATTGTTTTCATTTGCAAAAGATTGCGGACATTGATTAAATGCAACGGATGGACGAGCTTGCTGTTCGGGGAAAGCTTGTCGATTAAGCAAACGATGTTCATTATTTATTCCAGTTGCATGATCGGGTATTGCGTTCCTCCCTTCTTTGCCATCGACGATTTCAGACTTTTCTTGAGTTTGAACATGTTCAGAAATTATTTTTAGATTATTCTTGTCCTTGTTGCTCAATGTTTTCCATATTGTTGCGAAAGAAAGCGGGCTGCCTGGGCGGTTGCTTTCATTAGTACTTTCCTGATTGATTGCAAACTTTCCAAGCTTTCGAGCAAGGTCCGCTTCGCTTTTGACAGGGGAAATTGAAGATAAAGTTTCGATAGAAGATAACGAAGGCAAACGTTTTTTCTTTATCGAAACTTCTTCATTTAGGAGATCCGACCGTCTTTTAAAGAGTTTCTTCTCATTATCACCGTTAAAATTTAATACATCAAATTTTATATCTTTCAAATTAATAATTGAAGTTCCATCCAAATCCGTTCTTGACGATATAGATTCAAACTGCGGAACTGTTTCCGTCTTCTCTTCTACCTCTTTCGAGTGTATATCGGATTTTATTAGCGAAAAAAGAAATTCATTAACGTTTTCAATTTCATCGCTTTCGGTTTCATCATCGGAGCACAGATCGACATATTCATATATGATTTTCTTATCAAATATATGTTTTATTTCTACGGGTATTTCCTAAAATGAAGCAAAAATATTTACGATCTTGACTAAGAAACAAAAGAAGAACAAAATTCTTTGTTCTTACCAAATCTTTAAGTAAAAGTAATTTTCTGTATTGACAGGTAATCGCTTTTTCAATTTGAATCAGATTGTCCAACGCAAATCTGAAAAGCGAGTTAATGAGTTTTTTAACTTCTGATTAGGATTGAAATAAGACGAAACAAACAATTCTCACCTTTTTTTATGAATAATCCATTCTTTAATAGTTTGAAATTTTCTGTATTTCTCTTCGCTTAGATTTAGAGCAAAATCTATGAATGGAATGTAATTTCTTAAATCTATCAATTTCTCGGTGATTTCGTCTCCCATTTTTACACTTATCTAAGAAAAAAAAAAGGGACATGAAGAAGAAGAAACATGTGTAGTTTTAAAGATGATTTTATTTTTAAGCAAACTCAGTAAACTTTTAATTTTTTTTTCAAGAATAGTACACGTCCTCGATTATGGCTACATTTGAATTGGGAAATTTTATTTAGAATATCACTCGCCGGCTATATATAATATTTTTTTTAATTATATTATTATTATTATTATTTTGTTTAAATTGTTTTCCTGTTTATTTTAGATAAATAACTTTATTCTGGACACAAAAGCTCTTATTCATTATTGTGTCGTGTAGAAGCAAGCAGAGCATGATGTTACTTAAATTTATGCAATTACATTGCATAAACAAGAATAACAAATGAGTCAAAGTAAGTTATCGGGGTTGTAATTGATGAGAGATCAATCTTGAAAAAATGGTAAATATTCCCTTTTCCCAAGAGACCGCTAGATAAATATGCAGTTGCGACCACCCTACATTCTCTATTAATAAGAAGAAAGGAAGATCCAAAGCATGTAAGATAACCAATTTAACAGCAGCAGCAGCAGAGTCATTGCATCGCATACGTAAACTGATAGGCATCTAAGCATATCATGTTAACGATAGTTTTCATATACGTAAATCGACGGTTTTACTCGCGTGGCGCTTCCTGTTACAACGATTATTTCTTTTTTTGTATGCAAGTAATCACTTCCTCTCTTCCAACTTTAAAGTATAACACATACAACAAAACAAGTAAGATTATATTTAGCTGGGACCGAATAGTTTATATCCGCCAACTTCACTTCAAGACGAGCGAGAAAATTATATTCAGCTGCGTCCAAGTTATCTATAGTCGCCATTGAAAAAAAAAAGAAAATAAATTGATTTTCAACTCCGCATAGTAATGGTTGACGAATGTCGGTTTTGTTCAGCTACTCTAGGCTTGTTATCTATTAATAGACACTTTCTGTAGCTAGCTAGCGAAAAATCCCACCCCTCTGCTTTTGAAAATAGAAGCGTTATCAGTTTAGGCTGCACCGCGGGTCGATTATGCCCATTTTCAATATGAATGCCGATGGATATGAAGCCGATGCCATTATTTTTACAAGGAAAGTGCTTATCACAAACTGTAAACAGCCACACTTACGCACGGACGGACATGCTTGAATCCATTCGGCGTTTGAAGCTTACTAAGGATATTGTAAGATATTGTATAAATGTTTTGTCAAAATCAATAACGAATTAATAACCACTTTCCGTGATAGGTATAAAGCCGAAAAATGCTATAAAATTTAATTTTTTGAGTTTTAATTTTGTTTAAAGGATAAATAATATATTTATGCAGTGTTTCATTAATATTAGATTTTTTTCGCTCGACAAAAAATATACGCTCGTTAAACCTAGTCCATTGTCCAAACATAAAAATTTATTTTATTATTTTATATTACTACGGAACAGGTATTAAAATATAGAAAAAAAGGTAAGCTAAAAGATTAAATAACTTCAATAACTCGAAAAACATAGTATCATTAATATTGGGTTTTTTTCATATAAGAAAGGAAATAATGTTGTTGCTTTTCTCGTGTAGGAAGCAGGGATCTTACTCTATTCCTCTTATAGTCTGTTTTTCAGGTCTTGAACGGAAGGGATTGAGTATTGTCGCACATGGCGGTCCAATCCATCCCACCCACGTTTTTGATGGGGCGCATACCTGTTGATTTGTGGAAGAAGGTAAAGTATTTTGGGGCAGTTACACAAGAGCCATTCTCAAATTAAGCGGGACTTATGCTTGAGACCGTTATCTTTGTTGTAGAATTTAAGTCCTTCCAAAGTACCAAGTTCGTTCGCGCTTTCTTCCAAATTTGCATTCAATATCTTAAAAAAATCCTGCTTCTTTACAATGCATGGCAAATTATGACATGCCGAGGTAGGGAAAACAAGTTTCTAAGTTCATTTTCCGCTCAGTCAATCCACTAAGAATTGGGTCTTTTTCCTGGCAAATTCTAACCTTAGCTTAGTAAAATAAATTTTTATGTTTCGACTATTGACTAGGTTTAACTCACTGTACGTTTGGTGGGAGCTGTTGGTCTCTCTGTTCAACACCTAATAATACGCATAGATTGGAAATGTTGCAAATGAAATGGTGGTTAAGTATCGTATAATTAATGGTAAATACCAGTATATATATAGCCTGAAAATTAAGGCGAAAATTATTTTGACTTGTAAATTTATTTTTGATATATGTTCATCACCTGAAGTATCGAGTATCGTCGATCCACTTTAAGTCAAATCTATCTATCTCACTTTTTCCTTTATTCGTAGACAAACCTTTCTGTCGTTTATTTGTTGCTACATTTGCATGCATATTTTCATTTCTTTTTCAAATGAGCGCATTATTATGACAAGCTAATATCCGAGGTAACTGAACGGCAAGATACCGCAACATATTTTTCAAAATGCTAGATAAGTCTCTGGAACTTTTGATGATCTATTATCAATAACAGTAGTAGCGCTCTTAATCAGCAGGCATGTGTTTGCTTGCTCTTTCATTCTCATTGTTTATACGGATACGACTGCTGCCAAACTGTTACGTTTTATCAAACGCAAAAACAAAAGTATATACATTTCCGTGTTTTTAAGTGAATATGATTTTTGTTTTTGGGGCGGGCAGGACGATGTTTACATCAGACATTACACATTGATTTAGAATTTGATGCTGACCAAGAATATGTATATGTATACTTTGTAAGGTCTCTGAAGCTTCCTTCTGGGTGTTGCAAACGTTTTGATCATCCTTCGGTGATGGGTACAACAAGCGATGAAATTTTAAATATTCTGGAATGCATTATTGAATATTTGGCGAACATGAACTCTTCAATGTAAACGTTAAAATTTCATTTCATCGGCCCTTCTGCTGATTACTTTTTAGGATTTCTTCGTTCGTAACCACTTATATGTATTCGATAGCACGAAAGGGTTCACTATATGCCTTTGGATTGTAAAGATTTGATAAAAAGCAACAGTTTGCCAAAATTCTTACCCATACGAACAATAATAAGAATAAAAGAGCAAGCAATGAAATGGCCGACTGCTCATTAACAGCGTTTCTACCCTTGTTAATAACGGAACAATAAGAGAACTTGAGATTTTACTGCCTTATATTTTCAACAAAATACTGCAAAATCCTCCTATTTAGTTCCCCCGCTAATATATGTTACGATATAAATTTATAAAAAATTCCAAAAAGAAAAAAAATGTTATCAACGTTAAAGGATTTTCTTCCTTTCTTAAATGACCGATCCCTCAAGGGATGATGCCTATCCCACGTTTGAGGGATGGGAAAGAAATGTCATAGCTGATAGATGATTGGTGAGCACAGTTTAGTGGTTGTAAGCCAACTGTAAGAGCTGTTACACCTTTACCGACTAAGCATTCCCTACAGCCAAAATAAACTCCATCCGCACTGAGATTCGAGAAATGGAATCATTTTAAATGTACTCTATAAATGGCTAGATTTGCTCCTGGATACACAAGGCAACTTTAGTCGTTTAAATACGTTATAATCCAACTATCACATCCAACCCATCTTAACGAGACAATACATGTTCTATTTATTTGCTGCTTGTTGTAAACTTGCTGGTCCGTCTGATGTCAGCCCAAGTATTTTTATGTTGAACTTACAGATCATCATTTTCGCGATATTTTCATCAAATTACGTAAACCAAAACGCAGGGGGGGGTATTTGGCACAGGAACGAAGCTTGAACTGAACTGGCACTTTTGCGACCATCCTCAATACAAAGTCTTAAAAAAGTAGTTTTACGAAAACGGGATAAAAGTCGTGCATAATGAAATTTACAACGTTACACTTGAAGTTTTAAATAAAAAACTTTACAACCATAAGCAAGTTTTTTTTAACACTATTAATGGGCTGAAAACAAAAATTGAAATTAAATTGTTATTTTGCAGAAAGTCTGGAATGCAATCGCCATTTTAACAAACAGAACAATCAAAGACGAGTTGATCGCATTAATCAATCATTTTATAGTGTCTTTGACGTGTACTTCGCCAATGTTTGGCGAATACAATGAACTTTTGCTTGTTTATATGAAGTACTTGTGATAATAAAGTAAACCTTTTTTTTGCACTTTGCAGAAACTCGCACAGCTAAAGTAACTTGTTGACCTTTCTTAATACCTCAAAATAGGAAGGATTTTAAAATAAATGATATAATAATGAAAAAAATTTCTTATCATAAATAATTAAAAATAAAAACGAAACTTAAATTTTGAATTACATTAACCTCTTTATAAAGCGAAAATATAAAATGCTACTCATTTTAATGCCAAAAAAATCAAGCTCGTACACTACTAACCAAATTTAATTTTTAAATTAATTTTAGAAATTTCTCCAACTATTTTTCACAGTTTTGGCTAATGAGCCGAAGGTTTACGAGTTTGCCTTTGGCGTTAAAATTGGTCACCTTTTGAAATATTTATCTGAAATCTCGAAAAAAATAAAAAGTATTTGTGTTTATAGCACATTTAGCTGCAAATATATTACCACAAAACAAATATGTTCGCTTTCAAACCACATTAAATGCAGATCAGCGTGGGGTTATAGATCTTACCTTCCTATTTCTTCAAATCAGCGGCAACGATTATTTTTCAAAAGTCACGAAAATCACGGGTCTCAAAATGTTTTCTTTTTGTATTGTATCATTATTATTATTATTATTATTTTTATTCGTTCCGTGGAACTATAGAAACTATTTGAAATTACTCGTGAAACTCTGCAACACAAGGTTTCTCTTTCGTTTTCAGGTTTGTCGATAAAAATTGCTTTCTATCGTCACAGTGCAAAAGTTAAATACCATAAAAAATTAGAAACTATTATCGACGTTTAACAATTATTAATGGAAATACTTTTATCATAATTTCTTGAAATAGTTCCGAAGCTTTTTTTAACTTCACACACATTTACTGTTGCGTAGCGCTGCGCTACAAAATCAGCAAAAA